TCTTGAGAAAATTCCCACATTAAATTTCAATGAAGTTTCTTTTTTTTTTTTTTTTTCCTGAGCTTCAACATAATGCTAAATGTATCATTGGAAAGGTTAATACATTGAGTGTCAAAGTTTACTTCTCAGAGTTGCGTTTTAATGGAATGGCCCATGATTAGCTCTGTTAAAGCCGCCGCTACTGACTAAGCGGACTGTTAAAGCAGGGCACACGTTGCCTTTTTAATGTCAACATCAATACACTCTCAGTTCTTAGATAGCCTTTTTGGGTCGCAGATAAACTTTAGAAACATCATATGTGCCTAAATCCCAATCTTGATCATTTTAATGAAAAACTACAAGCTTTTTTAAGTACTTAAACTGTTTTTTGATGATCGAAAAAAGAGGTTATTTCTTATAATAATTGGATTTGTGGCTGCGACTGTCTATGAAAGCATTTGATTTTTTGCTGACTTTCATGTTGTATAAAGATCAGCTGTCTGCTGTGTGCCTCACATTAGCATGCTTAAGAGAGACTGATGTTCTGACAAGACATGGTTTATCACATCAGGGAAATGAATATTAATGCAGAAGCAAATTTACAGTTCACAAATCACTTTACATGCTTGTAACTTTTAAGATGCATACAATTATATATGGCAGCAAGGAAATGCTGATGCTTTTCTTTATTAAAGTTGCAAGTTTTCTTCAGAAAAAGGTGTATATTATATAACCATGTACAGTAAATATTTGTATATACAATTGTTATTGTTATTATTATTATTATTATTATTAGAAGTAGTAGTAGTAGTAGAAGTAGTAGTAGTAGTCAGGGATGGGCAAAAAACATTTAAATGTATTTTAAAATATAATACCAAATACCTCAGTTTTACGTATATCAAAAATAAACCGCAAAATACAGCAGCCACAACAAGAATAAAAAATTAAAATACTGTATTTTGTACTGTATTTTGAAAGGGAGCATGACGTTTATTTACAAACCTTCTATAAATAGGCATATTGGATTAATGGCTTTACCATTAAACTGAGTTTCTCTTTCATTTTAGCAAAAATGTTGTACAAATTTCATACAGAAAGTTGTGTCTTGAAGAAGCTTTTTTTTAACCACTGTAAAAACCATGTAATGCAGATAATGAGCTGGAATTAAGTACTGTATCTCTTCATTGTGTTCCATGCATTGTGTGGTCAGTGAAACTGCAACAATCTCTTAACAGTCTTGTATTTTAAAAGGGTGATATATGAAGAAGTTATTGTATTGGTTTGTTCTATAAATGTAGTTTTTTTTTGTTTTTTTTTGCAATTAAAATATTCTAAACCTAAGGTAAAAACATAATTTTTTGAAAACTTCTAAAATCTCCAGTTTTAATAATAATAATTTCTATAAATCATGATTTTTTGCAATCGTGCTTTTCATATACATCCTGAAGCTGTGTAACAGGAGTCTGGAGTTTTTGACCAGTCTGTATAGAGAGTAAGTATTATTAAATATTTGTCTCTCATACTGCATTTTGCCACTTTGACATCTCTTCATTAACTGTGCACTGCGTCTGCAAATCATCTACTGGCATTTGAAACAGCTAATGAAGTTTTGTAGAAATCCGCACTGTAGGACCTATTTATATGTTGTTTGTCTTATTTTTCTGGCTTCTACATCAGCAATCCATCTAAAACTACTGATATTCGTTATTTTATTCATTCTGCCAAGATTTTTTTCTGTTCTTCTTTAGCTGGAACAGTCCCAGTTTACCCCCTTAAGCCTAGTTCACACTACAGGATTTTAAACATCAGCAGATCGCTGTGCCGTTCACACTACATGACTTGACTTTGTGTTTTTTAATCTCTGTGGTGTTCACACTACGCAACACTCTGAATGATCCACAAAAGGGGGGTCACACATTACATGTTCTGACAACAACTCATTACCCAACAGCTACCAAACCACAGCCAATGAAATTTTGAGGGAGGAGTCGTCAGACAAAGTTGAACACTATTGGCAGCTTGTGTGATGATTACATCACTGACAGCGTTTCAAGCTTTGGAGAAAGCATTTAAAAACATCGTCAAATCAGCTGATTCATCAGCGGATTAATCACTCATCAGCAAGGTTCAAGTGGGTAGATACACAGAGAGTTTTTAATGTTTGTAATTTTATAACTCTTTCAAATAAAACTAACATATCTATAACACCCTGCCGTTTTCTAACTATCAGTGTATTTCTTTCTGACATTGTTATTTTTTTATTACAAAACAGTAAAGAACTGAGCATTTCTGCCTTAAATTACCATATTGGTCAAAATGACTGCATGCATGTCTGATACTTTTCACTGTGACTTTAAATATGTGTGCATTTCCTTGCCTAGCAACTTCCTGCTAACATAAATAAAACTTTCTGATGGCAAAAACATCAATTTACTTCAGATATCTTTCAAAACAGCATATTCTGTGCCGTGAAATAGCTCCTGTTTGAAAGTGAAAATGAAAGCCAAGACCTTTGCATGTTCTAGTATCTTAACTACATATTTATAGGCTGTGTTACCCAAAAAAGATGATATTTTTAGGGTAATGGTGTCATTCAAATATGATGCCAGACATTCAAAGCTTAATTTTAATATCTCAATAATAGCTTTGAATGTAAATATGTTGTGACAATATGGCGTTTTATATGAGAACGGTCAGAATGAGCAGTATGGTAATTCTTAGTTACAGAATTCTAGTTCCACTGTTAATATAGCCTACTCTCATGTCTGTGTTAACGCAGAATGAAGCGAGTGCATTGATACCCATTCTGACCAGAATTCCTGAACACACAGGCATTCAGCTCATGCTGATATGCTCTCTCATTGGCTGCAGCTCGTCACTACATCTGACCACACGTGGGGTTGAGTCGGCCGACTGCTCTGGAATATTTAGCATGATAAATGTTGGATTTCCGTCTGCGAGGTGTCGGCGATGCGTCTGCGAGCCTCGTTGATGCGTTGTTCAGTAGTTCACACATAAAGAGCAGCGAGCGCCGTGCACCTGCAGATTTCTTCCCGATCACAGCCCGATCTGTCGGCGAGCTTGTTAACTTCCAAATCGGGCTCAAATCAGGCTTAAAATCCTCTAGTGTGAACTAGGCATTAGTGAACACCAGTACAAGGTGTTTTATTATTCTTAAAGGGCACCTATGGTGAAAAATCTACTTTTCAAGCTGTTTGGACAGACGTGTGTAAGTATTGTGTATAGACCGTCATATTAGGGTGATATAAACACACACAGTCTTTTTTTTTTATTTAACAACATAAAAATGGTGGACCAATTGGAGCGGTTTTCAGACCAACTGCAACTTTACGTAGGAGAGCGGTCCCCCCGCCCACCAATATTGATTGACAGCCTCGCGTCACGATCATATCCTCAGTTTCTTGTTTCACGTCCACCATTTTCAGCGTGTAAGTCAAAGCGATATCACTAAAGGAACACCCTTGCTCTATTTTTAGATGAAAGGCTCATTAGGCTCAACACAAGATCAATATTCTCCACATTATCGCTCTAATCATTATTGCTTGTACCTTTTGCGCGGCGCAATGGATTTTGGAGTTCTAGGCATGGGTTTCTGTCGGGGTGCTTGCGACGGAGCTTCGAGTCGGCGGCTTGGCAGCCGCGGAGTCGTTGTGTTTGCCCTGGTGGAGGCCTGTGTTTGGAGTTCTGGAATGCGTTCTCGACGATTCGGGACAGTTCATGTTTCTGCCGCGCCACTGAGAGTGTCTAGTGTGCCGTGTTGCGACGCATTCGATGCCTCAAAGTTAATTCAGTGTTTGAGGTTATTAGTCTCGGTGTACAAGTTCGGCACCGAGACAATACAAACTATACAAAGACATAAATGATTTTGTACTCTCTGCTTGGTCTGTGTCCGAATCGTGTACAGCTGAATGCTGATCCTAGCTTTTCTCTCTCTATGTCTGTCAGCCTGTCTGTTGCAAACACAGAGCGTGGAAGCTTTTGGCTCCGCCCCCTTGTTACGTTGGGCAGGAAGCCCAAACTAATTTTCATGTGAAGCAACACGCCCTTAAAACAGCAAACTGTGCCCCCAACATGACACTTTTTAACACATTATAATAAAAACATCTGAACTGTGTGTTGAACTGAACCTAAACTGGCACATTTAGAAGAACCATAATATTAAATCATATTAATAACATAATATTAAATCATAAAAAAGGGGTAAACTATGTGCCCTTTAAGTTCGTCTGAATTTCCACCTGCAGCACTGAAAATGATTATGTGCTTAAGGACTGATATTTTATTCCATCTCATTTCTTAAGCAAAGATGCTGATGCCAAATTGTACACTATACTGCATATTACTGGTCTTAGCATTGTGCAGTATATTTTCAATGATTGCTGACTTTAGTTATTATTTGTCTGTTATTGTATTTGTGTGTTGCATAATTTCCATTCATACTCCAAGCATTGACCACCATCTTAATCAATTTTTTTTGTTCTATTTTTTGTCAGCATGTAGACTTCTTACAAGTTATTGTATAGTATGTTAAATATACAAAAACACAGGACACTGAAATATTTTGATACAAAATATAAACCAAACTTTATCAACTCCATAAAAACAAATTACAAAATACTGTTTTTTTTTATTTGAAATATGTATTTGAAATACATGTATCATAAATACTGCCCATTCCAGGTAGTAGTAGTTTGTAGTAGTAGTCAGCATAAGACTTTGATTTCATAACTGTTAGGAACAATATTTTAATCAAATAAAATGTATCCTGAAAACTACTTACTATGAGCCTTTTTCCTCTAAAATGTTTAGATGGTGGACATATTTGGAAAATGATTTCACGTTCCATTAACAGCAACTTCCACCAACTGAAATTAAATAAATATTACTCTTTTTTTCACTTAAAATGTAAGAAAGGCAATTATTTATTCCACAAATAACCATTTTCCCGTGTAAATCAAACTGTTAACACAATAGCTTAATCTAGCTAAAAAGGGCTTGCATGATAAATCCACATTTAGCTAGCGTCAAGATTATTGATGAATGAAGTTAACATTTTTAAAGCCAGATAAACGGTGTGCTTTTTCCTGAAAGAGGTTGGCTGTATAAACCCTGGAATGAATTTATAGTGTCTGCATGCTTCGCTACTTCTCTCCAATTGTCCGCAGGCTGCAGATGCTCCTCGCCAATCCAGCATTGCAGGTGCAGTTAATGCTGGAGATGCTGATACTTCTGGCTTGATGTCCATCTTTTTTCCCTCCTTGTTTGGTTTCCTCACGCAGTGCTTTTTTTCTGCTTACCCCTTAGCTTTTTTTCCTCTGTGCTGCCGTGTGAGGTGTTGTATTCACCGGATCCCGCAGTCTGACCGGCTTTGCGGTGCTTCTTCGAGAGCATCATCTATTCTTCAACATTAGTGGATTTATGACGAACAGTTCCGTGTGCTGCCGCATCATGTTGACATAACTCTGCCGAAGAACTGAAAATAATGAATGGCAAGAGAGAAGAGATGATATGAATAAACTCTTTGATGTGGAGAGAAGCGGGAAAAGGGGTTTCTACTGAATATATTGGCGAGGAAGCGCGGGAATGAGGCACGTTTCTTGTCGCTGTGAGTTTTCTTGTTGAAGTTGTCTATGCTCATCAATGGAAAAACGAATTGAAACGAATATTCGGATAAGTGCTTATTAGAGATGGAAGGGAGCTTTTTCAACCTTTTCCCTTTATTAATCTTTTCGTGGTGACTCTGGAAAGGTGGAGCGATCAGGAAAAGCTAATGACGGACCTATTAATCCATCACCAAAAGCACCAGAGGGCTTTGGAAACGTTTGGATGGAAGCGTTTGCATCTTTTTTTCTGGTTTTATACGAAACTCATGCATACTGTAGTTGTGGATCTCTGCTGGAATCTCCGTCGTCATTGATTAATTTATAGTGAAGGGAATCCAGGGCTCTGTTGGCACATTTGCTGTGATTTTTCGTTTTCTGTATTGCAAAGATCCATCTTTTCTTCTGAAAGTATTCCGATCTAAATGGAATTAGTTGAGAAAGCCATTTGTGAAAGGAATAGACATGGTACATGGGAACAGGTTCCTTCACGGTAAGTCCTACCACTTAACTTCACTCTCTCCGTTTCATTTTACGCATGAGGTCTGAATTCTCAAGCGTCGACTCTCTTTTTTTTCTTACCTTGGGAACTTTGTGTGTGATTGTAAACTGGCAGAAATCTATTTTGATTATGCCTCCCCTCTGCGAAAATCTTAAACATGTCAATAGCTGGTCTATGTTTGTTTATTTATTTATTTAGGATGTTGGAAGTGACCAGTGACCAGTTTAAACCAACTGCACCCAAATGAGCCAAATAGCAATACTACTGCTATAAAACTTGCATAGTATGGAAGCTGTTTTCTTACTGGTCTAAAATGCTTATTAACTAGTAGAATTTTAGTAGTTGCTTATTTAACATTAGGTAAATAAATACATTTAAATGAATGAAAGTTAAAAGTGGTATTTTTCAGGTTTTGTTTTGTTGCATGCTGGGAAATGTAGTTTGAACTGGTAACTAGCTGGTCTTAAATACACATCAGCTCCTCCGAACTCTGGTGCACATGCAATTAATTTGGACCAGCACTACTCACTGGCCAAACGCTAAAACCTGTTAAGGCAGCTTTTTACATTATATTAGTTTGTTGCTGGCCTAAGATGGTCATTATTATTCTAAGCTTATTACTAGTTTCATTTAGGTGGCATTTTTGCTGCAGCAACAAACCAGCTTCAAATAACCTTAGGAAGATAGCCAAAGTGTATTATTTTAGCTAGTCAACAAGTCAGTGACCAACATCTAGCACCCATATTGTAAAACCGCTACCAGCTGAATATGAGTTAAGAAATAATTTTTTTTTTTTTTTTTTTTTTTTTTTGGTTATGTTTTGTTACCCTGCTGAATATTAGCTATTGCAAATTTGGTTATTGGCTTGTTCAAATTGGTGATTTGATAATCCACATTCTGGTATAAGCTACAGTACCTTTGGCTAGCAACTCATCAATTACAAGTTGATCACGTCATTTTTTAATTATAATTAGAAGTTTGATGATATATATTTCTATTCTAAGGTAGTGCAGCATCTTCAAATAACAACAAACAAGCTAACAGCTAATTATGCCAGGTTGTTAACATGGATAGCATCTAGTCATTGACCAGATTGGACCAGCTAAAAAAAAGAAAAACAGTTAATAATAAGGCTGTTGGTTCCAAAACATCTAGTACATCCATAGCAAACAAACCAGTCTCTTACCATTATTTACAATATTCAAGATTCAAGTACAAAAAATAAATAAATAAGTTTTGTGATTTAGTGCAACAAGATAACATGTAAGCACAGTATTGTTCCAGCCAGCTACATGTTAATGAGTCCACATGATTTTATGCTGTTTTGATCTTAAATCTTTTGTCTCAGTTGTTGCAGGTCTTCTCATGCTTGGGTTGTCTGGGGCAACAAAGAAGGAAGCAGGTAATGATGTTTTGTCACAGAATACCCGCCCACTCTCCATCTCCATGTTTCCTGGCAATCTCTGACATTTGACTGCTCTCTCTCAGTGAAAAACAATTCAGGAGTACAGCCTGCAGGGCAGTGTGGAACCTGGGTGAAAGAACCGGAGGGAGGCCTCTTCACCTCACCCAATTACCCAAACAAATATCCCCCAGAGCGAGAATGCATCTACATCATTGAAGGTACAAAAGAGAACAACCCAAAAACAAAACCTTGTTTGAATAGTAAATGCAGCACAAAAACAAATCTGTCACATGGCCCTTGGACGGTGGGGGTTGTTTTGAACTGTTCAGTAGCGCAGCGGTACTCACAGTAAAAGATGCTGGAGCACTCAGTTGATTTTTAATCCAATGCAGCACTATTATGATGCTAACAAACACTAGTGAGTTCTCTTTTGCATTTATAACAGAGGCATCTATTAACAATCTCTTAATATCTGAACGCCGATTTGATTTTTGGAATTAGATTTTATATCGGAACTAGAATTAGGAACTGTCTCTCAGTCACATCTGTTAGCATTATGCATTGTGCCAAGTAACTGAAAATCAAATTGAAAGAAGCTAGTAATTCCTTAGAAGCAGTAATTTCCTTAAAATTGAATGGTTTATTTATCACATTTATAATAAGATTACAAAAATTATGATTTTTATTTTACAAAACATTGTCATTTCACTAATCATTCCTTACAGAAAAGTCCAGCCTGATGTCATAAGGAAACGTAACTTTTTTTAGTTTTGTCATTGTTGTAGCTAAATCATATGAATTTTTACAAGTTTAGCTGTAAAGAAAAATCAGTTTTAAAAAGGAGGCATGGCACCCAACCTAAACCCAAGGAGAATAAGCAAATCGCAACTTTATTGTACAAATGAGATTGTACAAATTCATTCAAATTAGCCACTAAATCAAAAAGTAACAAATTCCCATGAGATCATATTGGAAAAGTCACATTAATTTCTCATGTGATCACGCTTTTTCACATACTACACACGACCAAATTTCGACAACATGTATAACACATAGATAACATGGAATCACATCGGATTCATACAAAAAAAAAAAAAAACACACACACATTTCCATTGGTATTTCACAATGTTTATCTGTTTTACATGTGACTTCATGTGATTGCGTTTGCAAATTCACACGTGAAACTCTTGTGACATTTCTGTAATGGCCTCATTCCACTGAGTGATACAGTACGGTACGGTACGAGCCGGTATGTGTCACCTTTATCAGGCTTGCTTTTACACTGCTAAAAGGGTACCAATGGTACTGTTTTGGTAAGGGTGGTGTGCGACAGAAAGATTCAGTCATTTTCATTCTCGCTCGAGAAAATGTCAAAGTAAAGCTGGACAGGTTGTTCACATATCATACGAGAAGCACTTCTCACAAAAGAGATGCTTTGTACACATAAATACTTGTGTATAAATGTTCATTACTAACCTTTTAATGGACATGATTTGATTATAACTGCAGATCAATGATGAGTGCGAAATAGTCTACTGTAACGTCTGCGATTACATAAAATAAATAAATGCACCATATATGAACACATACAGCCCCTTACAGTCTTTGATATGTTACCATTACAGACAAACTACACACCGCATACATTTAGTTCTTATTTGGGTTCAAAAACAACACACAACATAGTCAGTGCAAACCTCTCATCTGCATTTTCAATCTTCAGCACCACATGTAACCTCTGTTAGAGAGTAATTCCGTTATTCTGAGTTCATTATAGTCCAAGAGGTGATGATAATAGTTAAACATAGCAGGTAGTTTTAGGGCTTTAGGTTGCTGAAAGAATCATTTGCTCCTTTGTTTTTTCAAGCTTCACAGGGCAGATTCTGCTCTTCTTTTTAGCTTCGTGGCTGTTCATGAAGACAATGACAAGGTTTGATTGAGCTTGGGTCGACCATGGCTTTGTAATGATTCAGCTGTGTATTTAAAACATGGCAGTTTCTTTGTTATCATTCTGGCTTGTTGCACGAGCGAGTGTCGTATTTCTGTAAACAAATAGCGTTCAGTTGCGTGTCTAGCTCCGCCTTTAAGTACCCTTTTATTGTGCTAGGTACCCTTTGCAAAGGGTACCCAAAAAGTGGTTTGGTAGGGTTCGCTTATAGGTATGTTTTGACAGTGGAAACAGCCATAATAACATACCTAACCGAACCGTACTGTGCCATACCACTCAGTGGAAATGGGCCATAAGGGATCACATACTGTATGAACTGTATTTTATATACACAGAAAAAAATAACACAGGTAGAAATATCTCAGTTGACCTCTGATTTCACAATAAACAGCAGTTTTACATTTTACATATTTACTAGTGTATATGAATCTTATTCACAGAAAGTGAAACATAAAAGGAACCATGAATGGCCTCCCTTTAACATAATCATCAATGGAGTGTGATTACATTGCACATAATCCACCAGTAACATTAAAGAGTTACAAATTGCCATGGGATTCTTTTTGGGCTAATTAGTGTACCATTGTATACTAATATTGGCATACTAATAAAAACATAACTTTTTAAAATATGACCGGTGTAGTTATAGAAAATCTTTAGAAATACATGCGCATATTAATTTTCACCACTAAACCTGTAACTTCTACACTCAAATCAGTGGCATAAGCAGATTGTACAAAAAGTAAGAATATACTTTATTAGCCATGAATTTGCTTTTACATTTTTGTTACAAACTTCTGTTGGAAATAGGGCTGAGTGATTCATGAGATTGCAATAAAATTTACAATAAAATTGTTAATATTACAATAAAATTCATTCATTTATTTTCATACCAAATAATGCTAAAGGATTATTGTGATGTTTAATTACATCACCTGATATGCAAAAAATAAATAAATAAAATAATAATAATAATAATAATAATACAAAGTTAATATGTACAGTTGAAGTCAGAAATATTAGCGCCTCTTTGATTTTATTTATTTTTTCCTAAATGATGTTTAACAGAGCAAGGACAGTTTTACAGTATGTCTAATAATATTTTATCGTCTGGAGAAAGTTTTATTTGTTTTATTTCGGCTAGAATAAAAGAGGTTTTGAACTTTTTAAAAAACGCTTTAAGGATAAAATTATTAGCCCCTTTAATCTTATTTTTTTTTTTTTGATAGTTTGCAGAACAAACCATCGTTATACAATAACTTGCCTAATAACCCTAACCTGCCTAATTAACCAATTAACCTATTTAAGCCTTTAAGGGCCCTATCATACACCCGGCGCAATGTGGCGCAAGGCATGACACAATTGTTGTTTGCTAGTTTTAGCTCGGTGCAAGAGTTGTTTTGATGTTTTGTGCCACACTGTTTAAATAGGAAATGCATTTGCGCTCATATGTACACCAATAGGCATTCTAGTCTAAAAAGGAAGGCGTTCTGAGGGCGTTCTGAGGTGCATTGCTGGCGCGTTGCTATTTTGAGAAACTATAATAGATTTTTCAATAGACCAAAGCAAAGCCGGTCTATTGTCCAGCACAGAGCGCGTTAGTTGTGCACCTCGCTTACACACTGCTTAATACACACAAGATGTAGAGCAATACGCAAATATCTTTACAAATGAAAAAAAAAAAAAAAAAAAAAAAATATATATATATATATATATATATATATATATATATATATATTAAGGATATATATATAGGATATAAATATAAAGAATTAAAATATTTCAAAACATATTATTTTCTAGCCTACATAAAATTAAAAACCATTGCCTTCATGCCTTCTTCATCTTCATTCATAACAATTTGCGTTTGTATAATGTTATTATTATTATCAGTATTATTTATTATACGCGTATTTATATTTGTTTTATTAAAAACAAGCTTAGATTTGCCCACCTGTCAGGTTTTAGACCATATGGGGCACAGCATGTGTATTTGGATATAACTCAAGTTTTTAACCACACTTTGTTATTATTGTTCATTTATTTGTTTGCTGGAAATTAGAACTGAATTTAAAAATAGTTTTAACACAAATCTTTGCGCTTAACAAACAAAATTAATTATTTATAGGCTAAATGATGTCTGTGCATACAAGGTTTTCCTATGCACGAGATTATGAGATGCCTTATTTCTCATTCTCACGCAGCAGATGTTCTGTTTAACTGTTTTCTTGCTAGTGAAACGCTCAGTTTTTCCACCTACAAAGTGGTCATGTAAATAGCAAATACGCTTATAGCATGACGCAACTGGATCTTAAAGGGAATGGGAGATGAGACTCTGATTGGTTTATTTTCAAAACACACCTATAACTCATTAAGAAAATAAACTCAACCCTTTTAGATCAATTGCCATGGCGCAAATCGGATTTTTCCATCCTCAAATTAGCAAAAGTGGATTCTGACACGCCTTGAAAGCGTTTGCCCCCTGCACTTTGCGCATGGAACGTCAAAATAGGGCCCTAAAAGTCCCTTTAAGCTGTATAGAAGTGTCTTGAAAAATATCTAGTAAAATATTATTTACTGTTGTCATGGTAAAGATAAAATAAATCAGTTATTAGAGATGAGTTATTAAAACTATTATGTTTAGAAATGTGTTGAACAAATCTTCTCTCCATTAAACAGAAATTGGGGAAAAAAGAAACGGGGCTAATAATTCTGACTTCAACTGTAAATGTTTTAATTATATTTTTTATTTACCTATTTAATTATGTTTTGCATGTCATGTGATGTCATCAGTCATATTGTTGATCATATTATCAGCACTAGTTGGACATATGATATCATGCATCATAAATTACAGCTGTCAGTTTTCATGATTTTCTTTTTCCCTTTGCAGCTCCCCCGAGACAATGCATTGATCTTTTCTTTGATGAAAAGTATTCAATTGAGCCTTCATGGGAATGTAAATTTGACCATATTGAAGTCCGGGATGGACCCTTTGGCTTTTCTCCAATAATTGGACGCTACTGCGGACAGCAAAACCCTCCATATATCAGATCAAGCGGCCGCTACCTATGGATAAAATTTGTTGCGGATGGTGAATTGGAGGCCATGGGATTTTCTGCAAGCTACAATTTCACATCAGGTACTGTTTTATACACCTTTATGCAGTGTCAGTAATGTTTACGATTGGTACAGATTGATTTATTTTTACACCAGCGAGTTTTTGGCTTTCCTTGATGGTCTTAAAGAGTTTGGGAAACTAGCTAACCTCGGGGTATTTTTATGCCTCGCATGTCGTCTTGAATTCCTGATGCAATCAGTATCTGCTCTTCAAAATCCAAGCTGCTGATTCATATAGTGATTGTTGTGGGTCCACGTTGGAGCTGCCAATGGTCATAATCTGCACTTGAGCTTTTTAGTCATATTTTAATATCATTAATGAGCAGCCTGTATGTTCTTATTCATTTAAAGCGTTTTAAATTGTTTACCTTGATCAATTCTTAGCAGCACAATGATTGCTGACAGTTATTCTCAGTACCTGCTTCAGATGTTAAAGATTGCCAATAAGATGCTAAGTGGTAACAACAACATCATTCTGCATATAATTGATTTCACTCGTTCTCAAAGGAATCTTCTGAAAATATGCAGCACATCACACCACGGTTGTTTGTTATCAGGAATCTCATTCTGAGTCTATTAAAAGCCGCTGCTTTCTGATCATTTTCCTTGATTTAAAATTGAATCTCTGAACTGAAGTGAGTCTGTACAGCAAGTATCACTGTACCTGAGTTCAAGAGAGAGATGGCGCATAAATGCTGTGCAAATTGAACAGTAATAGATATTGTGCAAAAAAATGCCAAAAGTGATCTTAGAATTTAGCTGCAAGTAAAGTTGTAAATGCAGAAGAATTTCGGCCGGGCTTCATGGGCCTTGCAGATGAATTGCACAGCTGTGGCACTGGGTGCAAGAGAAAGTAGCACACAATTGAAGGCAGCACTGATTTAGAGTCATATCTGAGAAATGAGTTATGAGCTGAGACGCCCCCCCCCCCATCCTATTGTAAGTCAAGAGGAAATTCTTTCGCCAAGTTGTACAGAAACTGTTCAGCGTGAATGGATTCAGACTCTCGCTTCGCAAACTTGCCAGAGAAGAAACACACAGCTTCCTCTAGTCTTGATAAGGAATATCAGTGGCATATAATTTGCATAATTAAGGAGATAAAAGTCCCTGAATTCACTTCCCTTGATGTTCCCCCAAAAAAGTGGAGAGCGCATCTGCTGTGCTGCAGCCAATGGTAACACATGCTAATGCGGAAGGTACAACAGATGAATGAAAAGCAGGGGATGAGGAAGGATAGAAATTACACGTATTCATCTTCCTTAGGCTTTTGCACATTTTATCTCTGCAGAAAGGAACGTTCTTGTATTTAGCTGAAAATGGGATCTGCTTATTATCACAAAACAGCCACTCAATCAAACATGTGTCAGTCTGCGGTGTAAAAGAGAGGGAATTTATTCCGAGTTCGTCATCCTGGGGCTCTGGGCAGCACAACTTCTGAAATTTCCTCATTAACTCTGCACTCATATCAAATCATATACATCAGTGCAAGTGCAACTGACTTACAGATCAGATCTTAAGGTTTTTTTGTGGGAGTGTGTGTGGAATCATGTGATTAACTTTATAAAACCTATTGATTTTAGACTCTTGGTTTGCTCTGGGGTATTGACTGAAAATATGGTTTGGAATCCACAAATTATTGTTTAAAAATTGCTGGAATGTGTTCATGATATTGATTTTTGTAACTGCTCACATATTCGTCTGACAATGTGGATGAAATACCATGATGCAAAAAAAAAAAAAATAAATCTTTGAAAAATATTTGATATATTTGGTGTCTTTCAGCAAAGAATCTTTAAGGCAGATAAAGACTGATGGCTGAGCTGATAACTCTTTAGAGAGGATTCTTTTTGATGGAACTATTTGTTAAAAAAAAGTCCTTTTCTGTCAAATGATTTAAAGTTCTACTTGGTGAATCAAAAACAGGCTACGGAATCAGTGAAGTCCTTGAATGAAGGTTTTTCCAAATCAGTTCTGTTGACTTTTATGAGCAGGGGTATTTTTCTTTGTCAAGTAAGGTACTGTTGGCAGTGTAAACAAAAGCTTTGTCAGTCTATCAGTGTGATATGTATCAAATAATACTTTCCTGTCCATCACTAACCTGATGAGGCATTAGAAACAAAAATGGCATCAGTAAAATCAAATCAAAATAAGTTAATATATATATATATGATTAAATTTAATATATATATATATATATATATATATATATATATATATATATATATATATATATATGATTTCTTATTTTACTCCAAACCAAAAACCTGCTTTTGGGTTGTCTTATTCTTAAAATGACAGTTTACACAGAAAATTACCAGAAAGTTTCAGTCACTATTTATTCATATCTGTTTTAATGCCAAACAGATATATATATATATATATATATATATATATATATATATATATATATATATATATATATAATATTTTTTTTATTAATTTGTTTATTAATGCTTCTGAAGCTGCAGACGCCATAATCCCACTTGTCAGCGCTTTACTGTTTGTTTTCTTTTTTTATTGTGGGCGTAGTTTGGTTGCGCAATTCTGATTGGGCAGAACGAAAGTGCGCTCACTTAATTGGCCAGTAAGGCTTTCACACACAACCGGTGATCTGTGCATTTGTCCTACCTTGTCAGATTGTCCTACCTTCTATTTAAAAAGTAGGTAGCACATTTTGATGACGCAGTGTGCTACCCATCAGATTTGGCTACCAGTGTAAATTTTATTGTACAGTAGTGTGATATGAAGCTGTAAAATCGCCGTAACCTGTCTAATCCCTAACCCCAACCTCAGAACTATTCAAATACTGTGTTGGTATGTTGGTAGCATAATCTGATGGGTAGTATAAAATGTCAGAACACCTTTTGTCATGCATTTGCTCTAGGCAGGGGAAATTAAATAACACACACACACACACACACACACACACACATACACACCACATATATATATATATCGATTGCAATTCAATTTCAATTAATTGCACAGTCCTAGTATCTCTTAACCATTAAGTCAGTAGTTACAGGTCTTCAAAATATCTTCTTTATTATTCAATGGAAAGAGAAAAGGAGGAAAATCCTAATGGTTTGGAACCCCTTGAGTGTGAATAATGCAATACGACTTTCTCAATGCTCCCAAGTTTAAAAACTTCATTGAATGTATTATAACAACCCTAAATGTTAAATGTGCATACCTAAAATATGTCTTTCCCTTAAATGAAAAGTAAAAATGTGAGAGGTCAAAAGTTGTGATAGTGCTGTAAATCTGCATTATTTCCAACATGCATCCAGATGTAGGTAGTTTTAAATGTCAGAGTTTTCCAATTTGGTTTGAAAGTAATTAAAGGTATTTTCACTCAAGGTTAGTTTAATCTGTAATAGTGGATGCATGGCATAAGCCATTGCTGAACGTTGGATGGCTCAGTGATAGAAAAGTAGAATGATGTGCACAGTGTGTGTAATTACTTCCTGATATCATGTGAAAATAAAAATGGTTGTGTGCAGTCGCTTCCAGCATTCAGATGCAGTTATCATGCAGACGCTGAATGAGTTCATTCCAGCAGTCAGATCTTCATGGATATACATCATGATGTCAGTTTCACTCACAACACTATGAAAAAAGGGTTTCTCTCAGAAATGTGAGATTCTTGGCAAAGACACTGCAATGATACATTAAATTGAGAATGATATTTCCAGTATTTAAGACATTTATTCACCCTCCATTTGAATGAAGCCTGCTTAAGTTTCCTTCTTCTGTTGAACTCAGAACAACATATTTTTAAAATATTTTTTTTCCCACTATGAAAGTCATTGGCTACCAGTTACCAAAATACCAAAAATATAACAAATAATTACCAAAATAAAATAAAAAAAAAATTAAAAATTGTAAAAAAGAGAGTAGAAATTCATAAAAGTTTGGAAAATTGTACTTATTTATTTATGTATTTGTTTGTTTGTTTGTTTATTTGTTTGTTTGTTTGTTTGTTTATGTCTAATATAAAGAAATGCACTTTTTGGTGATGGTGTTGTTCCAAGATCAAATTGAGTCTGTAAATTTGTTTAAATCTATAGATCGATACATTTTTACATTATTTGCCTGATTCTATACATTTTATTAAACAAAAAATAGACCTTTTTCCTTCTTTCCTGGTTTTCCGGTATTTTCTAAATTATTAAGTTATAAAAAGAGTTAACCTTAACCCTCTTTGTAGAAAAAAAAACTTGCCAAATAATAATAAAAAATTATTATTAAAATATGGTGGTCAAGAGAACGCAATGTGCTGTAATTTAAGGAAACACGTGCAATTACAAAAAAAAATGCTGGTAAAATGAGTAAAGATCTTCATCCACTTGACAGCACACATGTTACAAATCATCACAGTGCACTCACATTTTTTAAAAATGTGCTGCATTTTTTACACAACACAAACAATTAATAAAACGCACTGCATTTTTTCATACAAAACTGAAATGTTTCGAGGAGACCCTAAAACTTGACAGACCCGGCTATTTAAATAATCGTTATTTAAACTAATAAATGCTAACAAGGAATCGGGATAATAAAATAAAATAAAATAAATAAAAAAACTAATCATTTAAAGATCACCTACAACATCAGTGAGCCATACGCTTATTTTACGCAGCCACCATTTTAAAGAACCAAAGCGAGGCTGCGGTGGGAAGAAACCTGTAAGTATAGGACCAGCACTGTAAACATTGCAGTAACATGCTGTGGACTATAAACCTCCAGCTGTTGCTGAGATTTCAATATGCACAAATGATGTAAACATCACTTTTATATCATTCAGTCAGTTTAATTTAAACAAATAAAAGTAATTTAGTATTAAACAGCATCACAATCTCTTTAAGAGTAATATGCTCAAGTTTCCTGCTAGGCTTCAGTTTATGGCACCAGTTAAACACCGTAAGGACGCTTCCATGCTTCAGCCTATGTAACCCGGTGAGCAATAAAACAAAACTGCAAACTGCAGTCCTCTATAGCACACCCTTGTGTTGTCTGTAA